ACACACACACACACACACATTTTATGGGGACATTCCATAGGCATAATGTTATTTATACTGTCCAGACTGTATTTTCTATCCCCTTACCCTAACCCTATACCCCTCACACATAACTTTCAAAAAAGATCATTCTGTATGATTTATAAGCTGCTTTCCTCATGGGGGCCATGTACACACATGTAATACCAGGTACACACACACACACTCTCTCTAAAAAAATGGAAAAAATGGAAAACTGGAAGAAGAAAAAAAGGAAAAATACTAAAATCTCAGAAACTATATTGAAATACCATATATAAATTCAGAATAAATCTGGCAACAAAAGACTCATAAATTGTGCATCTTTAGCTCAAACCACACACAAAACTGTGTTTTCCATCTAATGCGCATATGCATTTCCTCTGTAAAAAGACGATTAGCTCCATTAGCTAAACAAACTCAAACTTGCGTCTACAGCTATGAATAAGATGTCTTTATTGTCATGTTAAATGAAACCATATTCATAATCCATTTACCATGTGGAAGAGGGTAAATGGTCACTTAAAAAAATATAAGATCAATGATGAAAGTTAAAAAGGCAAATCCTTAGTTCGCATGGCAAGGCAGATTCATGATCGTCTGGAGGATCATTCAGTGATTGTGTATTTTTGTGTGTGTCTATTCCGCTTGTTCAGTCTCATCTGCTGTAATATTCACAAACAATGACATTTTAGCCATGCATATGACTGCTAAATCAACATACTGAAAGTTTGACATCTTTTATAAACTACACACAACCGTCTTGAATTGTTTTCTATACATTTGCTTTTTACATATTTGTACATTTCTGGATTCGCGAACCACATGATTAATCAGAGACGTGATGGTTTAAATAAGAATTGCTCTGTAATACCAAATGACCGTAATACCAAAACGACAATATAGATAAAGAAATGTTATCATCTTGTATTCTAATGATTAAATAAACAAATAAAATGACAAAAAAATATCCTCAAAAACTTTAATAACAGATTTGGTAGCCTGTAACTCTCCTGAGAAAGGTATGATAAAATGATTTTGCTTATTATTCTTCTCGTCATATTTGCTCAAAGCAGATGAATTGAGGGGCGCTTCGATTGATAATAAAGTGCCCCGTACAAACTATATTTGTATTCCTCCAAGTGTTTCTGTACAACATTCATGTGGTTGACTGCATTATGCTTATTCATGTTCCAAAATATCATTAAATTAATAATCACATCTTGTACAGGCTTCAAGATTAATAGGCACTTTCCACAAATAGGGTACAAAATAGGGTTTGAAACGCTGAAAAATCTTGCTCGTCCACCTCAGGAGGTCAAACAAAAAATTACATGAGCCGTTTTATTTGAAATATATTTTAGTTATTTAAATAAATGTAAAATAAATGTTTAACATTTTTAAATGTAGAAAATGTAGAAACAAATATTTTAAATTATTACATATTTTTAAATATTATTAATAATATGTTTTCTATATTTAAAGGGGTCATATGATGTGATTTCAATTTCTCCTTTCTCTTTGGAGTGTTACAAGCTGTTCGTGAATAGATAAGATCCCTAAAGTTGCAAAGACTAAAGTCTCAAACCCAAAGAGATATTCTTTATAAAAGTTAAGACTCGTCCACGCCGCAGTGTAGAGTAGTACTTGTTGTTTGTCATTTCTCCGATCACAGATGCAGACATTGTTTTATGTTTACGCGGCGCGATGCAACGCAACACGTAAAAAGACAGTATAAGTCATTATAATCCGTAATTATGTCCCCACTGGATGCAACGAATGCCTCGTTTATAATGGGTTTTAATGTTTTTGTCTCGTCGCTTTTTGACAGTATTGTAAGGGGCGTAACATTTCCGTCACATGCTTGAGGAATCAGCCAATCACAATGCACTGGATAGCTGGCCAATCAGAGCACACCTCGCTTTTCAGACCAATGAGCTTTGTAAAAATTGACGCGTTTCAGAAAGGCGGGGCATAGAGGAGAAACAACAATGTACAGTATGTGGAAAATAATGTGTTTTTTGAACCTTAAACCGCATAAACACATTTCATTACACCAAATACACAAAATAATGTTCTTTTTAGCAACATCATATGACCCCTTTAAACGAATATCAATTCAACAGATGTTATATGATTTTAACTAGACCTCTGAGGCGCAACAGGCCTGAATCACCGTTTTAAAGGGTCATACAGACATTTGACATGTTTAAAACTAGCTGCTTTGAATGCTAGGTTAATTTAACAATTTATCCAACTAGTTCTTTATGAATTTATTGCTTCAAATAAAAGTATCAGGACATTTGGACTCTTTTTGTGGAAAGCGTTGATAGCGTTTCATGACGAATACTGTTCCCATCTAATTCAAAGCTATTCTAAAGCAAATCCCATGATTGTTTTACTACATTATTACAAAATACATAACTCAGTATTTGCAACATTCTATATCAAGGTGCTAATTAAAAACCACAACATAATCAGCTGATTATTCCCAGCAGTTTCGAAAATCAAAACAGACACAACATTACAAAAGAAAAGTGCTTCTCAGCATCCTATTTGGCTTCCTCAAAGAAAATGTCCCTCAAACTCTCAAAGTAAAGCCCCTCGTTGCTGCAACGGTACACTCGCACACACATCGATCCCCTCATGAACATTTCAAACCTCGACGTCTGATAGTCCCTCAGAGGAAACGTCACCTTTGCTGACAGCGGGCCGTTTGGAAGAACAAAACTAGCTCATTCTGGCTCTTTATTAAAGTAATGGCAGTTTAAGACATCAGGTTCTATATGTGCAAACTAAATGGCGAAACCAACACGATCAAGTCTCTCGCGAACAGCGCCAAACTTAGAATGAACGTGTTGAAAACATGCGGGGAAAAGAAAGACCCAAGTATGGTGCAGTTTTAACCCCTTTGACCTTTTTTACGGTTTCTTTTTGATTCAGTTATCATAATCGTGTTAAATTGAAGCGTTCACACACTAGACAAAGCTTTGAGTTTTGCGATCTATGTTTTGGAGGGAAACGTCTGGTCATAAGAGGGAAAACAGCGAACTGGATTTTGCCTCACTTGAAATTCCAAGAGCTCAACGGATACTAAAAAGCTACGTTTGTTTGCACATCGCAACATCGCTTTCACAAACCCTTGCGTTTCTCATCTACGGTACGTTCAGAGAACATTCGCAAGTTACAGTTTTGCAAAATTATAAAATGGAACGTTCCCTTAATGTTTTCTCTAACATTTGAATAACCAAGAAAAAAAATGGGCAGCTAACAAAAGTATTTTCGAAGAATGTTTTGCTTACGTTCTCATGTTAATAAAACATTAGCTCTGAATGGTTTTTGAACATTAAAAAGTACAATGTTTTAAAAATGGTCTTTCTTGGTTATACGAACATTAAGGGAACATTCAATTGTATAATTTTGCAAACATTATGGGAATGTTACTTTTGAATGTTCTCTAAACATTCTGAAACAAGTTGTAACATTTAAAAAAAGTCTTAGATGAACATCCAACTAAAACGTTTTAGAAATAAATGTTCCATGAATGATGTATAAATAATGTTTTTGTGCTAACGTTTTTTTGAGAACGTTATTAATGACCAGATAACTTTGAACAAACGTTCTATTAATGTTATTGGAAGAATGTTTGCTCGTAACCTTGAGTGAACCTTGCCAGAACATTCTGAGAATGTTCCCTGTTAGCTGGGTATGTCTTCGCGATGCATCTTTCCCGTTGAAATCAATGAATTTGCAGGATTGTCTAGTGTGTAGACGCCATTCATGTGTGCATGACGTGTATGAACACCACATTAGTGAAGAGCTCCATGTTGTACCCCTTTGAAAACCTTATGTGGCTCCTGATTGTGGGGTTATTGTATATTGCAGGAGGAGCAGCACGGGTCTTCCTTATCCGGCTGAGAGGCATAGTCCATCTGCCTGACTATCTCCGAGAACAGTTCGTCCACCATGGTTTTGCTCTTGGCCGATGTCTCCATGAACGGGCAGCCCCATTCTTCAGCTAGAGCTTGACCCTCACTTGATGAAACCTCGCGCTCATTGTCCAGGTCCACCTTGTTTCCCACAAGTATCACGGGCACACGCTCGTACCTGTGAACATACATGACTCCAGAATGAGGGAAATTCCAAGGTGAAAGAGTAGAGTCGAGTAGAAATTTTTCTTTGGCTCACCAATGCATTAAAAAGACTAAACAGACAGTTAAAATACATAGAAAGCCTATAACAGACAGTTAAAATAACAATAATAATAATAATATTGAAATACAGTTCATGCCACTATCAGTCACTTGCAGAGTTGAGGATTTTAATGGCATTAGGAACAAACGACCTCTTAAACACATTTTTGTTTGCTAAAGGAATTCGATAGCGCCTTCCTGACCTCATATAGGCTCAAACTGACTAAAGAGAGGATGAGAATTATCTGCAAGAATACTCCTCGCCACATTCTTTGTCCTTTCAGTGTAGAGTTGTGTTAAGGGCTTCTACTATTTTACTTGCCATTACCACAATTCTGGACAGTTTGTTCTTGGATTTGCAGTTTAAATGATTGTACCAGGCAGGGATATGAAAAGTTAATACACTCTCAACAATGAATTTGTACACTAGTTCTAGAATATGCTGACTGACACAGAGGCTGCTCAGTTGTTTAAGAAGAAAGAGTCGCTGCGAACATCTTTTGAAAATATACTCTGTGTTTTCGGTAAAACACACGCGAGAATCCAAAACTGAGTTTAAAATTTGGCACAATTTCAACTTGTTGGCCCTCAAGTGAAATTGGCTGGATTGTCATATCTAGTTTTGTACACATAATTAATTCTTTTGTCTTAGCGACATTGATTTCTAATTGACTTTGTGTGAGCCAGATAGACAGCATCATGTGAGGAATTTGTTTTATCCAATAGGCCAACTAAGGCCATACCATCGGCATATTTAAATAATCTAAAATATTCCTTATTAATCGTAATCTCATTAGTAAAGAGAGAAAAAAGCACAGGGGAAAGAACACAGCCTTGTGGGCAACAAGTGAGCACATCAGACATAACCCCTCTGACACAGACCCTCTGTGGACGGCAAGAAAGAAAGTTTCTTATCCAAAGGACTAACCCCGTATCTATATTAAGAACAATAAGTCTTTTTAGGAGAATTCATTGAATTAAAAGCTGAGCTGAAATTGACGAATAAGACCCTGGCATATGCTGTTTTGTAACAAGATGTTTTGTAACTGCATTAAGCAGGGTCAGCACAGCATCATCAGTGCCTCTGTTACTCTTATAGGCAAACTGAAGTCGGTCAAGCACAGAGGCCACAGTGGAAATTAAAACGGGTCATGAACTGGCTTTTTTATTATTTTATACTGTTGTCTGAGGTCCACTTATGATGTTCGCGTGTTTTTTTACATTAAAAAACATCAAAATCAATAATTAATAGGCTATTTTCTACCCTGGTTTTGAGGCCGGCTCGAGAAACGCTCCGTTTTTATGGGTGTGCCGCATTGAAGACTTGGAAGTAAACGCCCACTGCTATGACTGGATAATAGGTTTGCAAAGTAAACTAACTTTCTGTGTGTCTGTTTGACAAGCTACATCCTTCTGTGTCTTGTTTACAAAGGAATCCGCGGTGAAATGAAGCGAACAAACGCTCAATGTTTTACTCGCGTGAGCTGAAACTTTATTAAAAATAAAGTTCAACCACACATTCCTAATATTTGAATCCGAGGGAAGGTTATGCAGCGACTGTGTTCTTCCACAACCAGGCACTGCACAATATTTTGCGATGTCTTTAATGGCATGTTTATTGCTTGGTTGCTCGATCCGGTTTAGCGCCACATCTTCGGAACACAATTTAAGATATTTTTGATGAAATCTGAGGGCTCTGACACTCCCATAGACAGCAAGGTAACTACCACGTTCAAGGTCCAGAAACTTACCAAGATGATCGACAAAGTAGTCCGTGTGACATCAGTGGTTCGACTGTAAAGTTACGAAGCTACGAGAATACTTTTTTGCACAAAGAAAACAAAAATAACGACTTTATTCCACATTTTCGTCTCTACTGCGTCACTTGTGGACGTGCATTCACGACAGTATCATGACGCGAGCGTGTGACGGAGCCGGCGCTGACCCAGATCCGGCGTCATGACGTCATTAACACCGGATCTGGGTCAGCGCCAGCACACGCTTGCGTCATGACAGTCACACGGACTACTTTGTCGATCATCTTGGTACTTTTCTGGACCTTGATCGTGGTAGTTACCTTGCTGTCTATGGGAGGGTCAGAGAGCCCTCAGATTTCATCAAAAATATCTTAAATTGTGTTCCGAAGATGAACGAAGGTCTTACGGGTTTCGAACAACACTAGGGTGAGTAATTAATGACAGAATTTTCATTTTTGGGTGAACTAACCCTTTAATAGCTTGGGACACTTAAAGCGATATAGTTCATCTATAAAATTAACATCCTGCCATCATTTACTTTCATTACTCCAATCTTCAGTGACACATGATCTTTCAGAAATCATTCTAATATGTTGATTTGCTGATTTTTTTCAGGATTCTTTGAGTAGAAAGTTCAAAAGAACAGCATTATTTGAAAAATAATCTTTTGTAACAAATGTCTTTATTGTCACTCTTGATGAATTGAATGCATCCTTACTTATATTAGTATAACATAATTATATTAGTTTAACATGAGCAGAGCTCACTTGAATGACACTGTCCAGCATTATTTCTGAAGCAACAGCAATCACTAGCATTATTCACATCATGTTATTGCATCTAACATTTCCCGGCCTCAGCTAATATTCGTCGTCACACTAGCGGGACGCTAGCGAGGTGTGAATGGTGAGTGGGTGTTAAGCGGCACACAGAAGAAATGTCATCTATTGGTGGCGAACAGGAGAAGCGCTATTTATATCCAGACTTACACAAGGGAAATCTAAAGCTCTGCAAAGGAACGCCTGTTTGAGCAGGTCTGGGATCAATTGTGTCATATTCATGAACATATGCTTTCATATTCGTCATGTACATTACACTATTTATAAGATGAGCTCAACACAATGCCACGTTTAGCAGTGGGAAACCCAGGCAATCTGAGTCAAAGAGTTACGGTAACAATTAATTGTTATTTTGAATGCTTACGTGTCGTACATTCTGTTTGTACACAATTTATGTGCGGCTGATGAAGAAGAGCAATAAAGCTGGCTGGGAAAAATACTACCCATTCAGCCAGTTTATGAAGCGACATGTTTGAGCAACAAAACTACTTTCCCCAAAACAAATTTCCCACCCTTCTTACTGTCAGCAGGACTCATAGAAAATATAAATACAGCATTGATTACACAACTAATATGTGTCTTTTGCTCTTTATTTTGTTTTATAAGTACTCAAAAAAAGTGCATTTTAATTCTTTATTTACATTTTTTTTAATATATATATTGTGTTATTTTATTTCTAATTATTAAAATTATATAAATGTAATATATTTGATATAACATATATTTTAAATATAATTAGAATATTAAATTATATTTTGATTAATTACATATTTAATAATATTGAAATAACATGTATATAACAACAAATAATATAAGACAGACACAAGCTAACCATATTGTTGTTGTTGTGATTCACAGACAAACTTGTTCTCATTCAGTTCATATAATGCTGCTTGGTGACATTTTCCAAAATGTCAAGCCATGCATTCTCATCTTAATGTCTTACTGATTAAAATAATTTTATATGGCGACAAGATAACAAACACAGCAGCACTAGTTAAGTGAATGTAATTACCCTGGAGTCTAACGAAGTGCAAGCCTTCATGACCAACAACATCTGTTAGAGGATGATTGAAGCATGAGCGTCTGCTCTTAAAGCGCTGACCACGTGTCACACAGCGATTATGATGCAACCATGAGCTGCACATGCAGATGACAAGGTGCTTTTATCAATTTAGCATCTGACAGCAGCTCAGTAGCTAATTATTCTTTTATGCCACTGCGTGCTTATTGCTTATTGCCTGAAACCACACGCTTTACTGATTCAGAGTCAAACAAACCACACAGGGTGTAATTTACAATCAATGCAAAGCATCAAATATATCTGACAACAAATTTATCCTGAGATTAATAAAGCACCCTAATGAGGGAAACTGCAAGAGTTAAAAAAAAATTTATTTTAAAAAATAATTTGAAAATAATATATTTGATAGGAAACATTGATGGAAAGTGTAAAAGTAAAATAATTTAAAACTAAATAAAAGTAATTGTCACAACATGAGTGTGGTAAATGCAAATGCTCGATGAAGAAAAGGATGAATAACAGTCTTTAATGACCCAAAAGGTAAATTCCAACAATCCAACACAACAAGGGTACCAATAATTCCAACCACAACTGTACTCTCTCTCTCTCTCTCTCTCTCCATTTTAACTTTAATACATTTTAATTACAAATATTTAATTTTATGAAAACAAATATGTAAGATTCTTTCATACATACAGTATTTGTTTTTATAAAATTAAATAATTGTAATTAAAATGTATTAAAGTTAAAATAGAGAGAGAGAGAGAGAGAGAGAGAGAGAAGCAAATATTTATAAACCACAAAAGAACTAAGAATTATTATTAATTAAAATATAATTTGAATTAATCATATGAAAATAATTATATAACAGAAACAAAAGAATTAAATAATTGAGCCTAATGCAATTTATACAGTGCAGCCGTTTGGAGAATTGGCCGCAGGCTGAAAGTGCGATCAGTATAACTGTGATGCAGCACTGGGAGATTTAAAACCTTTTGGATTTCACTGTCTGTCTGTCAGAAACTGATGGCTGCATTGCTCCGTCCAGCGCATTGAAGGCCTCGACGGAGCAGTTGCCCAGTAACGCTTGGACCCCCGGCACTGACGAACACAAAAACAGATGTGAAGTCTCCAGAGACCCTGCTGGAAGCAGTGCATGCTGGGATGCTTTTGGTCATAAATGCTGGTAGGGCCACATGCTGGTTCAGAGACAAACAAAGGAACCTAGTTGTTAATGAAAACTAAAAGGGGAATGTTTTTTTCCCCCCCAAAGTTTTCCAAAATAAAAAGGTCT